AAAAAAAAAAAAAACAAAAAACAATGATCTAGCTGTGAAAGACAGGAGGAAAACAATTTCATTCACAATAAATTTTTAATAACTAGACATTGATCTAAGGATATGATACATGTAAGTTTATTTAAAATTAAAGGACACTGAAAACACCAGGCGAGGAATGGTTTCCCACAAACTTGAATCTATAGAATTAATATGGTTCACTGCCCATGTTACCAAATGTTACCTGTACATGCAATGAAATTTCCACTGAAATTCCAATGAGACTCTTCATGGAACTACAACAAACAATTCTAAAATTCAGATTGAAACACAAGATACAATAGCCAAAGCAACTCTAAACAAAAAAAGCAATACAAGAGGCAAACTTACTAAAAAACAAAATAGCACACGAAAAATACTAGTACCAGAAACGAAAGAAAGGCTATCACTGATTCCATGGGTCTTAAAGGTAAATAAGAGGGTACCACAAACAATTCTATGAGAGAAATTTGACAATCTAAATAAATGAAAGGGCCAGCCAGATAGCTCAGCCGCCTAAAGCACCAGCTTAGCAGAGTGTAGCAGCTGGGGTGAAATACCCTGGGCATGCTGTGCGGACCCCGCCCATGGGGCACACTGAGACAACTGAGACTGGGCGTGGTGGTGTGCTTGTAATTCCAGCACTTGAGAGGATGAAAACAGGAGGATCGCTGAGTGCCATCTACGTAGTGAGACCCTATAGACCCTGTCCTAATAAAATGAATGAATGAATGAATAAGTTCCTTGAATGGCTCAACCGGCCACCACTCACAAAACAGTAAGCAATCTGAATAGACCTTACAAAACACCAAGCTCAGTGTGACTCACTGGTGAATTCTATCAAATGCTTAAGGAAGAAATTGTACCAATGTTCAATAGCTTATTCTACAAGATAGAAACAGAAGGAATAATTCCGAACTTTGAAGACTAGCATTCCAATAACACCACAGCCTGGCAAAAATACAACAAAAATTAAAGACTGATACCTCTCAGAAACATGGCAAAAAATTATCAAAGCAAACAGAAATAACAAGAATTATTCACTACAACTAAGTAGTTTTCATTCCAGGCTGGTTCAGCATGGAAATTTCAATTAATGAGATCCCTCACAGCAATGAGCTCGAGAAGAAAAGATGAAATCCTAGATAGAGCCTGACGTTCACTAACAGGAGAAGTTTGATTAAATGGATTATGGTAAAGCCAAACAAAAAAGTATAATACAGTTATTAAAATTTTTACCATCTGCAATCACCTAGGAAAAGTTCTGTGTAAAACCCAGAGTCACAAGCCAAACAACCAAATGCTAGCACAATGTATGTGAGATGACAGCACTTTGGCCAAGTGGCGACCACCACACACCTTTCCTACACAGCTCGCACTGTATGCACAGAGCGCGCAGACACCTGAACACTGCAAGCGTCGCTGAGCAGTCAGCACACGGCCAGAACCAGGTGAGTGGAGAAAGAGAAGGGAGGGAGGTCTTCCCTTGCTCGCTTTTGGTTGCTTGATTTGAATCAATGCCGGTGACTCACTCTGTGAGAAAGGGGCCCAGAGAGCAGGCAATGAGAACGGGAACGCCCCACAGGAGCCAACACTCCAGCTCCTTCTTTGAAACAAGGTCTTATTAAAGGAAGTCCTTTCACACGGTGGAATTGGTGGCCTGGAAACACACTCACTGAAGCGCCCATCTGCAGTGAAGGCACGTACCTTTCCTCTTTAGAAGAGTTCATGTTTTCGCCATACAGAAGGAAAGCAAGTCCTTCTTCTGCAGAAGCAATTCTTGCCAGGATCTCAGCTGTGCAGATTAAGGCTGCTTCTGAGCAATCTGGAGCAGCCTGCACATTAAAAAGACAACAAGACCAGCCAGGTTGTGCCACCTCTGGGATGATGCATGTGTGTCCAATAACATCACCGCCACCAGAGCAACTTCTCTCACGTGAAATTACATCTCACAGTATAATCTTTTACCAGAAAAGCTATGGGCCAAGAAACTCAGGTTTCCTCCTCGAGGCACTCTTTGAGAGTTGCTGCTCCTGGTTTCTGTCTACCTCTCCTGCACACCTCCTGCCACTTCCATGTGCCATGTGCTTCTGGCCCATGGGCTCCTGCTAACACTCACAGCATCCAGCACGGCACCATCGCTCACACACTTGACTGGGCACGAGCATGGCCCTCACTGGAAGCAGGCGGTACACAACAAAGCCAGAGCTGCATCAGCCACAGTTCTCACCTCTGATGTGAAATGAAAGAGCCAGCACAATATATAGCAACACGGCACAAAACACATTTTGAGACCTGAAGAACCGTGTGACCGTTAGAGCCCACCCATGGTAACTCTTGCCCCCATCTGTGTGGGATATCAATGCACACATCCACTGTCCTAAATTAAGAATGTATGTAGCCAGGTGGGGTAGTACACACCTGTAATCCCAGCACTCGGGAGCTGAGGCAGGAGGATCACTGCAAGCTCAAAGCCAGCCTGGGCTACACAGTGAGCTCAAGGACAGCCTGAACTACACAGCTAGGCCCTGTTCAAAAGCAATGTACATGGTACAACTAACACCCTTTACTAAATCTGTTTTCTTGGCTTAACATCTGAGTCAGATGTACCCACCTAAAATAAATAAATATATATATACATATACACACACACATATATATATGAACATCCAATTGAAGATGATCTACTACTTTTCATGCCCTGAAGGTCTTAAAGGAACTTTTCCACCTAGCACCTCTCCTCCTCTCATTGAGTGGTACGCACACACACCTGGGAATATGAGCGTGTTCTCTCTCACACACACACACACACACACACACACGCCATTTCTGCACATCTCCATGCACCCCCTAAGTCACCCTCGTCTGCAGGCCTGCCGTGCTCCAGCCCCCCTCACCTCTCTGTCGGCAGCCTCCAGCACAGGGCACAGACACACTACAGTGCTCCGAGGCTGACTGCTCACACTTAGCTAGACAGTGAATGTCTGTTATGTGCCACAGCATGGCCTGCCCTTGGGAATGCAAGGACAATTACAGAAGTCCCTTACGTGGGAATTCAGGGAACAAAACACCTCACTCTACCAGGAGAACTGGGAAAAATGTTCAGAGAGCTCTATTCTGAAGAGCAACATTGTTCATGTGGACCAAGTTATGACCTCCAGGGTCAGAGGAAAACGTGCGACACTGGGAGCACAATGACCTTGTTTAGAAAATGCATACATCCTGCCAGAGCCAGGACAGACAGAAGACAGAACAGGACAGAAACACTGAGAACCTGGTAAATGCCAACTTGAAATTTATCCAGGAAACAACAAACAGAAAAGCATATGACCAAGTCTAGGCATGATGATGCGCCTGTAATCGCAGCTGCTGGGGAGGCTGAAAACAGGAGGATCCCTAACGTCGGAACTGTGTAGTGAGGGCCCTGTACCAAAAAAGGAAAACAAAACCAAAAAACAGCGTCTGACCGCTCAGTAGGACAAGCACTAGACTGGCAAACGCAGGGATCTGAGTTCAATCCCCGGTTCCACAAAAAAAAAAAAGCATCTGACCACAGCATAGGGTGGGTCAAAGGCAAAACCCCAAGGACCCCCACAGAGCAGGTGCAAAGAGGCAGGACAGCAGGCTTCGGGGGCACTTAGGTGCTTCTGCCCAAAAGCTAAAGCCACAGGCAGAGGGACACACTGGACAGACAGCAGGACCAGAAAGGGCACTAGCTCTGCACCCCCCTCAGCAGCCCCTGAACAAGCCCCTTCCTGTCACCCTGAAGTACAAGTCACGCTGCAGACGCAGGTGGGCACGCAGCAGTCTGTGCAAGATGCACGTGCATTCAGAGCCGGGACACACACTGGCCCTCTTCTGAGGTACACTACTTTTTCCTATAAAATACACTTGGCTGTTAGGGAAAAAAGCTATTTCCAAAAGCTGTAAAACAAATAAGGAATTCACAAGACTTATGACATTTTCAAGATAAATGGCTTCTTAATAGAGTAAGTGTTTCGCATCAGCAGACCTAAGCCCAATTGGAAAAAAAATTAAGATGTTATATATACAGCCTGCCTTGTCATAACTGATAAATTGACCACCTGCATAAACTATGATTTAACAAATAAAATTCAATATCAGCACAAAGTACTTTCACGTTCAGAAAGATAGTGTAAGAGCTATTTCAAACACATCAGAACTAAGTCACACTGAACATTCACAGACACCTGCTGCTCTTGCGCCCAGCACTGACCTCAGGCCCCTTCAGGAGGCTGTGCACCGGCTGCAGCAGTGTGCCGATCACGGCACTGCTGTGCAGGCACTCCGCGGCGCACTCTTTCTGATCACAGAGAATCTGCAGAATCTCCATCACCATGTGCGCAGGAGAACAGTCCTCTGAAACACAGAAAGGGGGTTTTATTTTGGCAGGGGGTTGGTACTGGGGATCGAACTCAGGACCTTGTGCTTGTCAGGCAGGCACTTACGCTGCTGAGCTATCTCTCCAGCCCCCAAACAGGAAGCATTATGAAAAGCCAAACTTTAAAATACTAACTACTCCTTACTGATTTTAATTATATGTTAGCTACTGTTGCTCCATAAAGCTCCAAATCAAAGGTCAATCGATGGTGCAAATATCACACAGCAGGGCTGGAGAAATAGCTCAGTGGTCTAAGTGCCTGCCTTGCAAGTGCAAGGACTCAGGTTCAATCCCTGGTACTGTATGCCATGCCACTATGCCAGCCATTGAAGCCGGGTGTGGTATCACACATCTGTAATCCCAGTACCAGGGAGAGGTTGACAGGAGGATCACTATGAGTCAGCTGCAGAGCGAGACCCTGTACCAAATAAATAAATAAATAAATAAATGAATGAATTTTTAAAAATTCACACAGCAGACGATCCACTCCTACGGTCCAGCAGAACACCTATAATCTCTGCTTAACCTACCTTCAAGTTAACAAAAAATAAGTAAGTGACCAAACTATCAAAGCTAAATGGCAAGAATACAAGTTTGCTATTAGCACAGTGCTAGAAAAGAAATATGTGGCTTCAAGGAAACCCACTTTCTCCTTCCGGGAAGCACTCCCCTTGGGCCATACGTGTTTTCTTTCCCCATAACAATGCATGCAGCTGTAAGGCCCAGGAGAAACCTAAGTGAGTCTCCAAGTAGCAACTGTTAGCACAAAGAGAAGACAGAGGAAAACAGAAACTCTCATGAAATTCCATGAAGCTAACACACTTCTTGTGTTACCACAAAAAAGCAAGGAGCACGTCTAAGATTTTCTGTTAAAAGATGAATTGAAAAACACAACACACATAAACGTTGCATGCTTAAAATAGTCACTACAATAAATGTGGTTTTTAATTTCATAAATTAATATATTGTCAGATATCTGGACCTAACATTCTCACAAGTACTTACAGTAGAACTAAGAAAGTTCACTAGTCACCATGGCCTACTTTCCACCACTGACAAGAGAAAATGGAAAAGGAAAAAGCCAGTGATTTTCCCCCAACCTTCGGTCAGAAGGCCTCCTGGCATGGACAGGTTTTACTGATGACCACATGGCTGTCCACTTCCCCTACCAAGTGCTACTGTGCCTTGTGAGCCCTCCCTGCAGGCGGAGAGGTCAAGATGACAGTCCACCGGAAGCAAAGCAAAATTTGAGCAGGTAATTAAAGAAAGGATCATGTTTTCATGAAAGATTGCTTAGAAACATGTAGCAGGGGTGTTAAGCTAGGTGGTATTGCACATATGCAACACACTGTACAGACAGAAAAAAAAATCATTATTGCACAGATAAGACCTATCACTTGACGTGTACTTTGTAGCATTACTATGAGCCAACCATCTTGTGCTTTGACTTCTTGGGCTTCCCTCAGAATACGTGCCAAGGCTTTCAGGACTCTGCCCAACCCAGGTGACAAGCTGGGATGTTTTGATGTACGTCTTTTTCTTTGCAAACGTAGTGATATTCAAACAAAAAAAGGAAAATGTCTAAACGTCAATATTCTAATACATTTTTATGAGGCACTCAGACAAAAAACTAAAAGGTATCTAATAGAAAAAAAGAAAAAAGAAAACGTTCCCTTTACTCTTCAATGAGAGTAAAGAAGATTGAAGTCTTAGGCATGAGCCAAAACAGGCAATCAGATCAAAACATCCAGGAAAGTATAAAGGACACGAAATGCCAGAAAGAGAACACATTAATATCTACCAGCTAATCTTCCCCAAGATCATTTCTTGAGAACATCTTGATCTTTACTAAAGAACAACATTAATGGTCTCAGTGAAATTGAGCCTAAATAAAAAGGTCAGTAGACTAGAGACTGCTCAGCACATCAGCAAATGGAATCAAATGTCAGACCCAACATCATCGCTTATGAGCAACTCTGTATTTCAGTAAAACAATTTACCAAACTGGGTCAGGTGTTGAAAACACCTAGACAATTGCATTCTTAAGTATTTTAGATACTTTTAATTTCTCCATTAAAACAAAAATAGCATTACCTGAATACACATCTGCTGTCGTCTTTGGACAACTTGGTGAGTAATAGATGAGCTGAGTAAACAGAACCAGCAGGTCCGTAAGGGAGACTGAGTCTTTGCAGAGAAAAAAAGACAGAAAGGTAATTCCTAGCATTCACTTACAACTTAGAAAACTGAGATGCATTCCTTTGTCCCACGTGACTGCGCTTCCGATGAAAGCCAGTCAGTCACAAGAGGACTCTGACCCACAACAGATGGCTCCATGGCAGCTCATGCATAACGTTTGGGGACGCAAGGCAGGCCGTGCAGCCGCACTGTGTGACCGCAAAGTGACGGGCAATTCGAGCCACTCCCTCACCACAGACCTCCAATGGAAGGTGTCCGGTCTGACCAAGGCTGCTCTGCATGCATCTGATTAGGAGCAGCAAGGCTCTCGGCTTAATTTCTTAGTCCAGCCCATTTGCTTACATGCACTACAGTAGAGCCTCCCCATAAAGCATGAGATAGTAAGCAGCTCAGGCTCTGAGCCAAACCACATCTGCTGCAGACAGCCAACCTGCTGCTGAAGCGCTAAGTAGCCAGGACAGCACAGACAGGCAGGGGTGTATGTTCTAGTACACTTTGTGTGCACGAAACTTTAACCTTACATCCTTTTCAGATGTCACAAAGTATTCCAATTTCCTTCAGTAATATAAAAATGTAAGAGCCCTTCCTAACGCACAAGAAACTCGCGGTCAGCCGATGTGGCCGGGCACAGGTCACAGCCCTCACTGCGCAGAAAGGGGCCGCAAATGGCTGCTGACCTCTGCTGCTCAGTCAACACACTTCTTGGCACCTGCCCTCAGCCCTGGGGGACATCCGATAGGCCACAGTGATGACACCAGCAGTCTACATGAAAAGCCAATCAACTGTAGGTGACATCTGCACATGCAAGCTGAACACTGGCAAAACATGAGAAGGCCCCTCGCCATTCTAGCTCTCACAGTTCAGCAATGCCCTAGAAGCTGACTTCTCTTAGCTGCAAGTCAGCCCTCACTCATGCTCAGGGGATCTAAAGCAATGTGACAGCACGAAGAGCATGATGGGAGAAACGCAGGAGACAGCGTCCTTCCTTCCCCAAAAATCTCATCAAGCAGGAAACAATGATGAGGCAAATGAAGCAGCCCGACAAACAAGTACTAAAAGCCAACAAACTGCGGCCCTTGGCATCTGAGTCTGCAAGGCCCAAGAGCTAAGAAAGCACCACACCTTTTTAGAGCATCTGGGATCCTTAAAACCACCCTGGACTCACAGAATTCAATACACAATCACACAAAGCATTGGGACAAGAGAATGTGAAGCACAACATAATGTGAAGCACAACATAATGTGAAGCAAATCCCAAGGGAAAGGTGCAAATCCAGACGACAACAGACGCCAGCGTCTAGGGTCCTCTCCAGAGCAGTCACCTGGGATATGTGCAATTCCCCGCAATGCGTGTGGACCCACAAGTAAGACACCAGCTACCAGCAACACTTTCTATCCAGAGCTGATCCACAAACACATCTAGCACTTTCAAAGGCCTGGAGAAATAAAAAAGGCACTAGGATTGAGGAAAACAGAAAAGCCTATCCATGGAGCAAGGGGTGCACATGGAAAGCAGTCCTTTGCAAAGCTAAACCGTCCGTAGCCAAGCGCCCTGAAGACACCAAACCCGGTCCCCACGTGCAGTCATCCTCGCCCCATCTCCCACGCTCTTTTCCCTGCCCACACTTACCTTTTCTGTTCTTCAGCTTTACAGGAAATAGTTTTCTGCCTTGAGTATAGATCAGCAATCTTCCTAGAAGGCACAGTGAGTGAATGAAATACACATACTGTGCTTCTTGTCCCGAGTAGTGCAGAGTTTTCTGTTTGTCCCCTTAAAAGAAAGCAAACAAGAGTGCTGGTCAGCACCCTACCTCACAGCAGCCGCCTCCATGCCCTCACGGCCTCAAACATGGCTGCAACCCATGACAGGCGCTGAAGGTGTAAACTGTTTCAAATTATTGTATTTATGGTCTCCTAAGATCCTTTACACTAAATCTGAAGAAAACCAATCACAAAATTGTCAAAAGTCCAAAAGACATAAAAATCTGTACCCAGTGTTCATTCTACGGCAGCTGAGAGTGTCGGCTCTCATCTCGCAGCAGAGGAGCTTCAGACATTAGTAGAGGAAGTCACTGCTTGGCGTCTCCATCAAGCCAGCGCAGGGCAATCTATGCAAATACCCAGATCCCCAAACTCTGAAAACTGCACTACTTCAAACCCCAAGCACCACAGACAGGGGGCCATAGTGAATGTGAACTGTAATCGCATCTCCAAGCACGTCTCCAGAGAAAACAAGACACTCTCCAACACAGACATCTTCCAATATATTCTCCAGCCACTCAGCGCCCACAGTCAGGATCGTGGGTAAAAAGGTAACAGATAGACCTTGAACAAGAAATTCCATGAAGAAAATTTCAAACAAAAGCATTAGCAAAAAGAATTCAAAATGGGAGACTCACAAAAATACTGTTTAATAAAATGTAATTCAATATGCCCTAGCCAGGACTACAGTAAAGCGAGAGGGGTGGGAAAAGCTCTTGTCCTGGCTCAGCTGTCTCAGTAGGGGAAACTGCTTCTACTGAGGCTGCTGGGGAAGAGCTGCAGTCGGCAGAGAAAAAATCTGGGCTGCCGGGCTCCCAGGCAGCACAGTGACTTCCACAAGCACATGGGCCACCCGGCTGCAACACCCAGAAGGACACAAGTGCGGGTCTCAACTGGGGGTGGGGGAGGACGGACATACATCATCACCGGAACCACGACCGGACTCTGCCAGCGCCAGGAGCAGAAAAAAACACAGTGGAGCGACCCACACACAGGCAGAGGAGACCCCTGGGAGGAAGACCGCAGTGGGCACATCAGGGAAAGTGGGGCCGGGCAGGCCCTGAATCAGAGGCAAAGCCAGCGGCCACCGTCCCCACTGTCCCCGTCCTGGGGCTGTGAGGCCTGAGCCTCCAGGCTGCAGTAACACTGGAACCCCCACGGCTGTAGGGGACTCACTAGCCAGGCAGACAAGGCTCCGAAGAAGATACGGTGTCCCGGCAGGGAGATGGCTCCATGGCACTGGGAGCCCGCAGGGCCCACGAGGGTGACAGGGTGTCTGCACAGCACACCTGCCTCACCCTGGGCAGATCAGCCCCCACCCCGAGCCCTCCTCCACCACAAGTGCCACTTCTTCGCTCACCTATCTTGGGTCTTTGCCCAATTCCAGTCCCTGAATTCACCCAGGGATAAAATACGTCATAAGATATTCTACACTTCAAAAATAACTTGTTAGGGGCTGGCTACACAGCCCAGTGACCTAAAGTACCTGCTTGCGCAGGGTGCAGCGGCTGGGGTTCGATCCCAGGCCTGCCGTGCCGGCCCTGCCCCCAGGGTGTGCTGAGATGGCGACTGAGACTGGGTGTGGTGACCCATGCCTTAATCCCAGTGCTTGGGAGGCTAAAAACAGGAGAATCACTACAGGTCCAATCTACATAGTGAGACACTGTAGAGACCCTGAACACCCTGTACTAAATACCTCCCCTCCCCCAAAAAAAACTTGTTTCAAAAAGTAATATATAAATAACAGAACCCTCAAAGAATCAGGTCTCCAAGTTGTGAAAAGCAAGCAAAAGAGGAAGACAAGTGTAGAATAAGCAGTGCTTGTGAGCACTCAGAGGTAACTCGAGTTTTTCATGCTAAGAGCTGCACATCAGCAACAGGGCCTGACAGAAGAGAAGCATGAGCCAGGCTCAGGCAGCACAGGCAGCGCAGGCAGTGCAGGCGAGGGCTAGAGGGACCCAGAGCAGCCTGCCTCTGCAGCACCCAGGACAGCTCAGCTCAGATGGAGCAGAACCAATCGGGCAGGACTCCAGCACAGAGGTGTGCTCTGGACCAGCACCCACCGATCACCACAGTCAGAGGTGCTTGGGTATGAAAAGCTGTGGGATGCGCATCTCTTAAACCTACAGAAGTTTTACATCACCAACAAAAGTGATCTAATTTGCCATTCTCCTAACTACCAAAAAATAATTTCTGCCAGGCATGGCAGTGTACACCTGTCGTCCCAGCACTTGAGAGGCTGAGGCAGGAGAATCGCCAGAAGTTCATGGCCAGCTAATGTACACAGTAACTTCAAGGCCAGCCTAGAGCCTGTCTCAAAAAAAATTAAACAATTTTTAAGCTATTTTTACTAACAGCATTGACTATTTTTAAAGGTATGTACTAAGGTAACACTCACCGCAATGCCTTGTGTGCCCCAGAAGTTCATCAGCTTTCATGGTCTCACACAGTTCCAAGTACTGCACACACTGCTGGACTGCAGCTGTCACCTGGTAGAAAATATCTTATTGACTCCAGAAATTTACAACCTATTACTTAAAAAAAAAAAAAGTTAAGGTACTAAAAATGCTAAAAGAAAATATTTAAGGACATACTCAGAATACCAGCTTTCCAGATGCTGACGCTTAGCCTCACACACTACATCACTTGGCGCCCTTCAGGGGATGCAGAAAACCCCCGACCAAGAGGTGTGTGCTGCTGTAACACCATCATCAACGGCAGAAATAAACACGTTTTAGCTGGGCGGGGCGCACGCCTACAACCTCAGCAGCCCGGAAGCTCGGGCAGGAAGGCTACAAGTTCTAGATTGGCCTAGTAGACTCTGTGAGACACTGTCTCAAAAGATAAAAGAAAAGAAGGCCTGGGAATTTAGCTTTTGGGTTTTTTTTTTTTTTTTTTTTTTTTTTTTCAGAACCAGGGATTGAACTCAGGCCCTTGCACTTGCCAGGGAAGCGCTTATTCTACCGAGCCATCTCCCTGGCCTCTGGGATTTAGCTTCTTGCTCAGGTTCAACCTCCAGTACCAAAAAGACAGAAATAGACACTTCCTATCTTAATGAAAGATGCAAAAGTTCAGTGACCATGACTTCAAAACTGCCGCTGCCCAATTCTCTTGCTTTGCAGTGCTTTCCTCCTCCCTCCAGTCAGCTTCATTTCTACCTCAAATATCAGAATTTCAGAAAACTGAACAAGGCCAAGGACCAGTCACAGTGAAAAGCACCCTGTGACCTGTGTGCACCTGACGGTCCCCTCTGTGTCTCCATGCTGACACCTGCCTATGGCCTGCCGATGTCTCTGACTTTATTTGCAGGCATGACAAGCCACTAGGAGATGAGGATGCCACTGTCAGCCTTGGTACAAGGGAGACCGTTGGTAACTGTCTCAGTTAGTTTTCTCTCGTTGGGACAAAATACCCAACACCCAAAATTAAGGAAGGAAAGGTTTATTTAGCTCACAATTAGTGGCGGTTTCAGTCCATGGCTGGCTCCAGGTAGAGGGAGGGGAACCTGGCAGTGGGCAGCAGCTCAAGGCAGCAAAAACAACAAAGACCAAAGGGAGGGGCAGCAGCTGCAGCAGATTACCTCTCCCCCTCCTTATACTATATGCAGATTATCCACCCCACGGCAGCGATAGCACTCACACCCATAATCCCCTACTAGATCATGAATTAATCACAAACTAGAAGCTGCCCCATTTGACTACACAAGGCTTTGCAGGGACACCTTGTCACTTAGACACAAAACATAACAGTAACCTTGGAAAGATCAGTTTAGGGAAGTCTAGGGAATGACAAAACCTAGAATTAGTCTTCGGTTATCCTGGCCTCACTTCAAGTTTCTAGCAATCATGTGCACGCCAGTGCCTGGGCCACAGAAACTACAGACGTGAACTGCTGCAGAATCTCGTCCAGAACACAGAAAGCAGCTGAGGAGACTTCATACAAGGCTCTCAGAAGAGACACAGAGCCGGGCCTGGGCCCAGGTACCCACTGCAGATGCATCGCGTGACCTCAGCTCTCAAAGTAAAACAGGAACCATTTTCCTCACTGTTTCATTTCAGATCAAAATAAAACTTACTTTGAAAAATAAAATAGTGTAAATCATTTTTTTCTTTTATAAATTAAGAAGGCTTTGTAGAGAAAATCAGGTTTCAGATGAAATACCAGAGGTCTGACTCATGACATACATGAAAGAAAAGTCAAACTAAGTTGATGAAACAACTGAAGTGATTGCAATGGAGAAACCCTACCAGCAGCCTAAAACCCAACTGGCAGAGGTAACGTCTCAAATAAGAAACACACTTTAAGAGCTCATCAAAGTGACCATTCTGCACTGTCCCACTGGGCCTCTGGGATAGCCATGGTTAGCCAGGAGCTGCAGAGGGCTCAGCAGAGAAGCTTCATCCCGCTGTCTATCCCCTCCCCATTCCATCAGGACGGCCTACAGCAACAACAAATTTTCATTCAAATGGTAATGGAGAAGACCTGAGATCTTAAAAGTCTTTATTACAATTTAATTTTCTTAAAAAAATTAAGTACCTTTTATCCCTTACCAATCCCATCCTATTTCCCAATATCCAATCTTCCACTGCCACTCAATGCTCAATTATCAAACACAACAATCTTTGTCCTCTTTCTTTCGCTGCATGCCCACTACTCTCCACCAAAACTGCACAGTGCCAGGGGCCTTCTGTTCCCTGCCTCATTACATAAGCCACACTTACTGATCCAAACTTGTACAAGCTATTAAATACCTTTTAAAACTTCATTTTTTGTGTTTCTCAATTGTCAACTAGTTTTAGGGATTTCAATTTTGCAAAGTGCCCACACACATTGTTCTACCACTAATGATGAAGGGAGACAATTTGGGTAATATACGTTCTATCATTAGCCTACCCACATTTGGCATAACTAAATTTTTGCAAATGTAAAAGTATTTATCAGTCAGTTTCTTCATGACTTTCAAATCTAATTCTCATACTAATGCCTCATCTGAATCAAATTACATGTTAATTCTTCCAAAGCTTCCTCAAACTAACTCGATTATTTATAGCAGGCCAATTTACTCTGTACTTCCACATTTCCTAGCTGTTACCCTGACTGCGTTCTACCTTCCTCCTTTCACCTCTCACGGGATGGTATTCTGAGGTCCATGAAAGGGGAATGGCCTCCTTGAGGCGTACAAATCATCAGCTTTCTGAGTCAGTTTTCAACGTCACACTCAGCGTCACATAGTCAAGACAGTGTGTCCTCTCTCTCTCTAGGATCCAGTTTCTCGGTATAAAAGAAGATGTACAAACTTACCAGAGACTTGTACTTCTTCTCAAGAAGTTTTAGTACTGTGGTTCTGCTGTAATGTGCATGCTAAAATTAAGGAACAATAATGGGTTAATATTCCAGCTGTGCCACTCGAAACCATCTGCTGCATCACAGCCACAGCATCCTAAATGACGCAGTGGATTAGGCTTAAGTCATTGCAATCAATGCCAAGTATGCCTGTCATTCTGGTCTTATAAATATGTACTTCTTGTCATGACATACCAATTATTACCATACTGTCTCTAAGTAAGTTTTTTAAATGGGTAATAAATGAAAAAAACACACAAGAAAAAGAAAAAAAAAATGTCACAGGACTGTCCTGCTACAATGCTGTGTATGGCTAGATTTCTAAATTTCTGTGTAAAAATATGTAATTGTTTATTCATATTACTTAAATATTTTTCATGTTTAAATTTTTATCTCCATATTCTGTAGGGACTTAATATTTAACATATCAATACTTGATGGAAAATACCTGTTCAATGTTATGCCTAAGATGTTTGATATTCACACAGATAATGGAGTTAAACCCAACTGCATATGTTGTGGGGTAATAATAAGCTTCTCTTCTGGAGGGTTAACAACCTAAGTTTGCAGACCAAAAATTAGAGAAATAGAAGGGCTGCAAGGACAGCCAACATTTTGGCCCTAGCCTTTCAAGGTCAGTGAAGACTCAGGACATAGGAGAACCTATACTGTAACATCCTGTAACTCAATTGTGTCCCAAATTTTCTGATCAAGGAGATTATGGGGCCAAAGAGCAAAATGATCGATGATGTAGAATGTGCTTAACAAGAGTCACCCAGAGAAAAAACATTCTCTCAGGCTTTCACAGACAGCAAATTGGTCAAGCAATGGCCGTGACTCATCACATGGCTGACACTGACAAAGGATCTGCAACCTGCGGTACAGGGTTGCAGCATAAACCTGAGGGTACTACACTGAGCTTGTCAGATACAAAACTTACATTTCTTATTATATAGGTCTTGTTCATGCTTGGTCTTAACCATCCAGCAGAAAAGTATAAAAACGAGGTATAGAAAGTAAAGCCATATTAATATGCTGGGCTGTAAAAGGTTCAAGTCAATAACTTCTGTGGATAATCCACTACCATTGTGGACTGCTGGACTGTGTTGGATTCTTTTGCTGAATACAAGCACCTATAGTATTTAGATGCCAATGGAATACCCATCTCTGACAAGACTAAACAAAAAAAGGGGATACAAATGAAGGACCATTTTGTATCTGTATATGCAGAATCGTTAGGATAGATATATAGCTACTTTTGTTTAATTCAATGAGAAGAAAGATTTATACTAATAGTGTTTGGACAGAATATTCTGTCTGCATCTTATACTATGGATAACCACCAAGAAGATAACAATGTACAATGTATTAATTATTGAAACTGCCTTATTAATCAGTTTTGAAACTGTCTTATTGCTACTAGTTTCTCAATAAAATAAAATTTTAAAAAGATGCCAAGCAGATCTTCCTCACTGCATTTATAGAGTAGCAATCACAGGAAGGCAAACTATACCAAAAAACACTGGCACAGACTAGTAAAAGACATTCTACTCATCAACTAGGTACAATTTCCCTGTTGATTCACTACCACTAAAAACAAAACAAACCTACTTAACTACCAGGCTACAGCAGAATCCAAAGAAAAGACAGTAAAAGGAAAAAAATCACAAATCTTACCCTGAAGATCTGGAGTACACATGTACAGAAATTGGCCAAATGGCAAATGTTCCAAAGAGACAAGATCCTCATCACCTTCTGCTAGTCATATTTTTAAACGACAGAATGATGAAAAAATCTTCTCTCCTTAGCACTGAACACAGCTAGCACTGAAACATCTGTACATATATAGCACTGTGCAAAGCCAGGAAAACTACAAATATTATTCACCTAAATTATATTTCATAGCATTAGTATTCCAAATGTGGTTTGGTTATTTTACTTAAAAAACAGTAAAAACCTTAACACTGGTTAATATTAAATATTAGAATGTAGGGACTGGGGTTCAATCCCCAATGTGCCGTGCCAGCCTCGCCCCCAGGGACATGCTGAGATAGCAACTGAGACTTGGTGTGGTGGCATGTGCCTATAATCCCAGCACTTGGGAGACTGAAAACAGGAGGATCATTACAAGTACGATCTGTGTAGTGAGACCCTGAAGACCCTGTACTAAGTACATAAAAAAATAAAATAAATATTAGACAGAAAACCTATCAGAGTTCTAAGGAGTAGTTTTTAATTCATTAACTAGTATCTTAATTAACTGAAGGTCAATCAAAGCCCTATGTTTTAACTCTGTAGCTTAAAAGTATTTTACAAAACCATGAATTATTTTATTCAGGCTTAATAAAAGAAATATTCTGATATATACATAAATTACTTTTAACACTGATCATGTTCCACAAAGGAATCCTCGTAAGACCTCCACTTGACCAGGATCAGCACATCACAGTTGTCAAACCAAATAAAGTTACCACCTGGTTTTATAAATAAAGTTTTACTGAAACACAGTCACACTCATCCATTTACACCTTTTCTTAGATGCTCTGAAGCTATAAAGCATGGTTGAAAAATCTCAAGAACCACACAGCCCAACAGAATAAAACTACTGCCTGGCTCTTTAACTAAAGTCTGCTATCCTCCCTCAGGTGGCTTACAAAAGGTTAAGTTTCATCAGCACCAGGAGGCATTTTCACCTGATCATTTATTAATGTCCTATTGTTTAGCTGCCTTGTGATCTGTCTCATTTTCTTAAGAATCAAGAACCAGGGATCAAAAATGTTCAATTAAAAAAAAAAAAAAAAAACTCAGGGCCGAGGAGATAGCTCAGTAGGATAAGCACTTGCCTGGCAAGTGTCAGGTCATGAGTTCAATCCCCAGTACCACAATAAATAAATAAATAAATAAATAAATAAATAAATAAAACTCAAGTCTACAAAATATGCAAAATTTGCTTTCACAATATAAAAAGTCTAAGTAAACTAAAACTTTGTTATGTATGTATCACAAGACTAGAAAAACTAAAAATAAATAAAAAGACTAGAAAAAATAGTGCTTTTACATTATTTACACATTTTCTTCAATAAAGGTGCACTTCACAATCACAGAAAGGTGAAGAAAAGCATCACCAGTGGGGGCCGCGCCCAAGTGAACCCACAGAGCCAAGGTTTATCGGTCACTGCTCGACAGCCCCATGCGGCTCCCAACAGGACGCAGTCACATTCCAGTAAATTGGGAATTAACTGCCAGGTGCAGACAGGAAAAGGCAAAAAACCAAACAGGCCAACTCGAGCTGAGGCAGCAATGATGGCTACTGCTGTGTGTGGCAGGTCCCCAGCTCTGCCTCTGCTTCTCGAGCTCCAGGAGGCAAGGGACACAAACCAGCACGGAGCCCTGCTATGGACCCAGCAGAGCAGAGTAGGGATGGTGCAGAGCCCCTCCAAGAGCCCCAGCCACACGTGGAACGCCCCAAACCACAGGCCCACTGGGAGGCAATGAAGCAGCATGAAGGACAGACTTCCTCAACCCTGGGCACAGGAGTACCGAGCACTTCCTGTGTCTGCTTGAGATAGCCAAAGTCTTTAAAGGCAGGGCTGCTCACCCCAAGCAGGCAGAAAGGAATCAGCACTTACAGACCCACTGGGCTGCCATCACTCATGAATCCCCAGGCAGGAAAGTCAGTGTCCCCCCACCTCTAGCCACCCCACAAATGGATGCCGCCTACTACCGCACAGGCCTTTAGGATTAAATGGGTAAACCCATGGAAGTGAGCAGAGCACAGGGCACAGCACAGGCAAACAGCAGCTGCAGCCACGGTGGAGGGCACAGGGCTCCAGGCTGCTTACCATCCACTTTTTGAACCACACGGCCTTAGTATCAACCAATGCAAAAAAGTAGATCGGGTCTAAATTCTTCGGTGAGACGAGACGGCTTGGGTCATGTTTAACCGACAGCAAGGACAAAGTGCTCGCCACGATCTCCTCCATGTACCTGAGTGTGGGAAAGGAGAGGTGACTTGTAGACAAGAACAAAGGCATATTGTAGACATATATAATTATCTGTGTTACATAAAATTGTCATATATTAGTGATCTATTTTACTATTAATATAGTATAAAGACATAACAGTAGTAATGTACTTTATGGAATGATAAAGAATATAATCTTTAGAAACTTAATTTCAGTAAATGGCAGAGGTAGAATTCACGCTCAGTTTTTCTACTTTAGAAATCTTTTTTCACTGGGCATGGTGGTACATGCTGTAATCCCAGCACTAGGGAGGCTGAGGCAGGAGATAAGCGAGAGGTTCAGGCTACCTACACAGAATTCAAGGCCAGCCTGTACTACAGAGTGAGACCCTGTTGCGAAACAGAACAAACAGTAAATAATTTGGGGGGAGGGGCTTCTTTGAAATAAGTTCTCACAACAGCTGGCCGCAAGCTCACGGGAATCCTGCTTTAGCCTCCCAAGCACTTGGATTACAGGCATGTGCCACCACACTCAGCTTAAAAGCCACAGTCTTAACTACTTCAGCAAATGGCTCTTCAAATGTGACTTTTTAACGTAACTTTTTTAAATTCAGATGTTCTTATAACCTTTATTAGAAAATTTCAGATTTAAAATAAACACTTTTTATAAAGAACATTTTATGGAACTTGTCTAAAGTAACAACTGGAAACAACATCCCACTTTTACTGTGCTGGAAGTGATGTAAGATACTTACACAGACCTTTTCACACAGCAAAGAGCCACACAAAACAAGCTTTAAAAAATGACCAGGCATGGGGTGAGAGCCTGTAACCGCAGCACTGGGGAGGCTGAGGCAGGAGGATCACCACGAGTTCAAGGCTGAAGTACACATACACACACACACACACACACACACACACACACACACACACGCACACACAATGAGCTGTATTAACACCATACCAATGCTGTCATAGGTTAAGGCTGTCTGGGTCTCTCACTGTCCAATGGACCACACTATGCCTGCATGTCCCACGCAGCGACCCATGGACAGACTTACTTCTCTGGGTGACGGATCCAGAAAGATGGCACCTCCTTCTGATACTCATTTAGAAGACGGACCTGAACAGCAGGGTACAACAGCTGTCACACATTTAGAAGCCCCAAGTACAGAAAGACTGAAAACGGAAGCCTACTCCAGTGAATAAATACCTTTCTAAGTAAGCGGGTCACATGAGGGTTCGTAACATCTACACCTGTTGCAAGCGTAGGAATGTGATTTTCTCTAGAAAGGAAGTACAGCTCCAAATATTTTGCTGAAAAAAAAATTAACTGTCATACCATTCATTTACAGTGCTTTCTGGAAAAAAATTCATATGTATTTTCCTCAAGTAGATATAAAATATACAAAATGTAATGAGCTAGTAACCTACCTAAGCTTGTGTAAATCTCCTTGGTCATGTGCAGTGGTAGCAGTGTAAATGTCTGCGCAGAGAACTTCAAAATCCGGTCCTAGAAAAGGAGACCAAAGGCATGCCTCTGAGATTCTGACCCAAACAAAGATGAAGTTTTTCACATACTAAACCTTCAAACAGGGGCCTGCCCCTTAGCTCAGTTCTTTAAGTGGCTGCTTCAACAAAACAGTCAGGCTCAGGTTGCTGTGGTTCGATCCCCACAACACAAGACAGCCAGTCATGCCTTGAAGGCATTCGGAGCAAAAAAAAAA